TAGATTGGGCTCATAGTGATCTGCTTGTTTACAGCCTCCCAAGAGCTGGGATTACGGGTGTGGGCCATGAAGCCGAGTCTCAATGCACCCCGGGTACAGGGCCAGCACGGCAGGCTGGGGGATCGCCCTGCTTGCAGGCTCTTTAATCCACTGAGCTATTTGGCCAGCCCTTACTTTCCTTTCCTATTTGGCCCAGGGCTCTTATCTCCTTAGGGATGTGTAGGGCTAGCAATCCCCACGTGGAGGAAGAGGCAGTGCCATGAAGTGAGTGTTATACACTCGAGCACAGCATTGTGTGGCTCCACAATATTGCTGAGTGGTCCTCCCTACTGTCACACCAAGTGATTCAGAGTTCTCTGGAGTTTACAGTATTGCATGGGAGATCTTTGCCATACAAAAAATAACAGCTCCTATCTTCTTCACTCAGTGAGATGGTTTTTGGATTCTAGTTTTCCAGTCAGCGTTACCGAGCAGGCTGCCTTCTTGGTTCTGAGCCATCACTCTCTCGCTGGCCCAAGAGTGTCCCCTTTGTGATCAACAACTCATTGAGCTGGCAGGAGTACCGAAGGTTTCCTGGCTTCATACTTCAGCTTCAGCTTCTGTGCATTTTGTATCTAAAAATATCGCAATTTTCAAAGTCTTGATCAGATCCACTCTACTGAGAAAGCACCGCCTGCCTGTAGAGGGCTCGCCCTGCCCTCATCCCCCTCCCCCGTGTCAGGCATCACGCATCTGCAGGCTCTTTTGTGCTGTGTGCTCTCCTGCTTAGTCCTCAAGGGCTCCGCCACAACACAGGCCAGAAGCCACCACCTCCCGTGACTCCTGGAACTCTGCTGCCTTTATTCTCATGAAGATCTTTATGAAAATAATGGTCAGAATTTACTTTTGATTTCTCGTAGTCTCTTGAGCTCTACACAGCATTTCTGAAGGACTATCTTCTGCAATCCCATTTATGTTGTAGGATCAGAGACTGTGCAGTTCCCTTTTTCCTGATCACCCAGTCTTTTGCTTAGAGGTTTCCTCTCATTCTTGTCACCATCTCACCAGTCTCCACTGTTTCCTTTTCCCCAAGACTTTTTACCTTGCTCTTAAGTTTCCTTTCTATAACATGTTTCTTCCACTGAACAATATGTTAATGGTTTATTGACCTGTCCCATGCCTGCTCCTGCCACCATCTGAGATGACGCAACCCAGGTCCTGGGCCCATGTGGACACCTGACATCATAACCTAAGAGCTTCTTGGCCTCTAACGTCAGGGCGTATCAGCTTATCTCCTCTCCAATCAGCCATACTGATGGCCAATGTGGGGACATATCATTGCTTATAACTGGTCAGCATTAGAAATTTTAATCTCCAATTGATCACAACCTCTGTCATTCTTCCACCCGTTCTATACCTCTAATCTAACTTCATGTGAACCAAAAGAAAAGTTTCTTTTTGGTATACCAGCCATTTCTTATAGCCTCTTCCTCTTCTCAGAGCTGCTCTTACCAACACTTTCAATGACTTTGCACCTTTTTAATTTTTATTTCAATTATCTGTATCCCAGGTCAAGCCCACGGCCTCTTTTCTGTGTTTCCACAGAGATATCAGAAAATCCTACAGCATTGCACTGATACCTAACTATGCTTTGGCCATTTCCAGTTAGTTCTAGTTTTAGATATTTGTCTGTCTGTCCCTCTCCTTTTCTATCTCTATCTCTTACCCCAAAGAAACAGCTTCTGTTTTTCTTTAGATTACCTCCTGAAACTCACTGCTTCAATTATTAGGTAATATTATTCCTTTATTATTAAAATAGGGGATGATATCTGCATTTATAAAAATGCTGCGCTTTATTCCTTCTCTGAAAACCTTTGCTGTATTGAAACTCACTGGTTTTCATGGTGCTTCTTTGTCCAGGTGTGCTTCCAGCCCTATGATTATTCTTTCTCCTTTTTTTTTTAAAATAAAAGAAGATGACTTGAAGGTGGGAAGAAAGGGGAAGAGAGAGAGGACATGCATCTGCTCTGGATGAGCAAGGAATATCCAAAGTGAAGTGCTCCACTGTTCCTCCTTATAAGTGCTTCATCTTTCCTTGTAGCCTTGAAAAGCTGGCGTGCATCAGCTTCGCCCTTTACCCACCTGAGCTCCTTTTCTGCTGTACATTATTCCTCTACAATC